TGACTACCACGAGTATATTCAGCCACTTGTGACAATATAAAGTCATTTTCCATGGTATTCTGTTAAGTGTGTGATTTGTACTCAATTAGTTCTCAGGTTCCCTTCAAATTCTTTTTCTCATCTTCTTACGACCGAGATAAGGCTGCATACATGAATGCCCATCTTTTATCCAAGTTTTCGTCAAGCCTTACACTCCGCGCGCTTGATGTACGTGCAACACGTCAGTTCTGTTGGCATGACCCAAATACTTTTACACTTTCCATGAGTTGACTCAAAGTTTAATGCAGACCTCTGTTAGCGACAGAACAATCAGTGACCTCACCCAGTGATGCGCTAGAACGTTGCTCAATAAATGGGCAAAATATATGTTTATCTTGGGAGTTGGACGTTGCAGATGAGAAAGTCCTAATATGTCATGCGCAATGCTTAAGAGCGAGAAAATGAATAAAACCTACGTGTACTTTAGAGTGTAGCCTGTACGTTGCGCACGTTGCGAGTGATCCATGGGAGGACATTTATCCCATGCACAGCTAACTGATCTCCAGATCCATCTACAACAACTGCTGTCTAAGAAGTGAGATTACCGACTACGAATAAGACAGGGTGACCGGGGGCCGATGAAGACGGAGTATACGGGTGGCAAAAGCGTTGCATTCAAATGACTGGTCAGGGACAGCTGAGGTAATGAACCATTTCGCTGCTTGATATTGCATGTAAAGTTTTTATTCTGGCTACCAACAGAGCTGCAGCCCGCAGTGTCATCTGTTTACCATTTTGGTAGACGAACTGAATCCCGCTACGTCGCCTCCTGACGGTGACTTCCTGAAAAATTTGCCTTTTCACTGGATCATGCTTCTTTACTTTCTCTACCCTTACTTTCTTCAGAATTTATCAGCCAACTTTTAGCTTTCTATTTCAGCAAGCATTCCGGCTTGAGGAATTCCCGATGGTGTATTGTTGCAAGAAAGATCCACCTAATGAACCATCAAAGAAGGCTGGACGAGTTCATCGATCTTAGATATCATTATTCATTCACAATGCGGTAGCCAAATGGGAGGTTTCAAGGAAAAATTATTTTTATTGGTTAGTGTGCATTGTTTACTGGAGAATTGTGCTGCCTGTAGGGCTAATGTTTTTCATTTGTCTCACTTAAGATGGGGCAAAGATCAGTGCAGTTCTCTTACTTCAAACGTATTCAACTAAATCACTTCCATTGTCATTGAAGATACAGTCACGCTGAAACGACACTTGACTGGAACATCTGAAGGGAGTCGCTACGTGAGTTGATGCATTGCGGCACATTATGGTGCGCAGCGGGTCAGCATTTACTTCAGTCGCTGAAATGAGACGCACGTGCTGTGATTAAGTGATCCGGAATAATCTTGGAATTTTGTACTTTATGTATCGCATAAGAAGTGAAGGAAATGGATCCACCAGTCACCAGCCCATCTTTGGCAAAACGACATCGTATAGTAAGATAGTAATTCCAAAATTTGAACACTTCAAATCCGCATTGAAATCTCTGTTGCCCTTTTTAAAAAATTAGGATAATAAAGCCGTTCGATTTCACTTTTTTTGGAAATTTTACCATAGTACTTCCATTTCTGGCACACGGGAAGTGGTGATCTGCCTTTGGTGATTCATTCTTTGGGCTGCCACACAACTGTCAGTTAACCCCCCCAATTCCTTGTAGAAGTGGTACTCCCCTTTCTCGATAAACTGAAGGATCGTATCATAAATTTCCAGGAGGCAAGCGAAACAGAAGCAATCGGATAGCCCCACACATTTATTGAATTACTGCTTGTTTTTTCCTCTCAGAGCCGAAGGGTTATCTGGTCAATTATAATAATAACCATAATTGTATCACCATCTGCAAGGATACATTTAGTTCGAACTCAGTGACTTAGTGAGAAGTCAGTGCTTTTGTGCTATATAATGGGCAGAAACACCCAACCATTCACATCACAGACGCCAAGCAGAGTCTTCCAATACCTACCAATGATTAAAGGAACCTCGGCTATTGCATAGGTGTTGGTGTGTATATAGGGGACTTTCAAAGAACAGTGTTACTCAAGTTACCTTTCATATCTGTGACCAGTTTTTGGGTAAACAACATTTCTTCCTGTAGGCTGTAATCGTTCTCGGATTATCGCGCATGTGCTAACAACGGAGCAGAGTAATCTGGTAAAACCGCTTCTGCCAGTCACGGAGAAAATTTCCCGTCTTTTCATTTTGGCACAATTGACGATTGTAGCTACGTATATTTGGGCGTTTTGTGACCACGTTTATCTCAGAAGGATCACTAAAAATTGTCACTAAACATTGAAGCCTCATTACTGACTGCACTTTTTGGGAGGCTATTATTATCAGCATTTCAAAAACAAAGCGTACCTTTACACTTTCGGTTGTGAGCTTGGTGGTCACCGGTAGGCACTTTCTTGAGGTTTGTTAAGCTTGAAACCTGCCTAACTAGAAATAGATCTTCAGTGTACCTGAATGGCTAGGAACCAAATGATTACAAGAGCGCTTACTTCAAGGCACTGCTGGAAAACGGCTGCCCCAAAAAGTGGTAAATTGGGGGCGTTTGTGAACACAGGCTTCCAGGAAACCAGCGACTGCTTGGGAATCAACACATAAGATGCACCGGAGAAATTAATAAAGAGCACAAAGAGTGAGGACAAGCTCCAATCACTGTCTGTTCGCAAGCCTACGACCCGAAGTTCTTTTAATGCCGGGTCACTCAGCGAGTTCTGTGCAGACAGTGTCACAGTCCAATGGTCCTTGAAAGTTAAGAAAACAGATAGACCGAAGCGAATGCGCTCAGGGCTTCTCAGAAAATGATTTACAGGTGAAACGTAGTATTTGCTGCACAGATGCATCATCCTCTACAAACAAAGGGCCGACGTGCATGTCTGGCCTTGTTTGAAGTTTCAGTGTTGATTAGCAGTGGGATAAAAAGCATCCTAATCCCCATGTGATTCTGAGACATTATCTTAATTCGAATTCCATTAGGTACGCGGGATTTAGACGGAAAATTCCTGCTTTTTCCCCGCTTTTTTTGGCACTGTGAGACTACGACGCTTTGACAGGTGGTGGAATTAATGATCGGTCAGCGCTTAGGCTGTCTTACTATTCACCATCTGATGAGTGATTCCGTAAGCGTTTTGCACCGTACAACCAACTGGAGTGTTGCCATCTCTGGTTCGAAACCCTACTCAGGAGAATGACATACTCCACTTTTAAGGACACCACATCAACTGACGGGCGCCACTCAGTTGTCCATAGAGCCAAAGGCCTTGAATGCTCCAAAACCTGAGACACCAAGTGGTGAAACGAGTGCATGTCACCCACTATCATTCTGACTTTAACCAACTACTTCTAAATTATCCCAACCGTAGAGATGAAGGGAAAGGAAAAACTACCACCGGCCTCGTAAGTAATGCTAAATCATTTTCGATCTGTAAAAATGAAGTCGTATGAAATAAGAGATAGAGACCAGCAGCTGAAATTAACCACATCTATTCTTCACTGCTGTTCAAGGTGCAGAAGTCAAAATATTTTCACATTCTCGAGTTCTCGCTTTTTTCGGGAGGACTAGAGAACCGACGGCAAAATCCATATTGATATGAATTTTTGGGTGTGTAATTTCTTCAAATCATCGCACAAATGAAGCTAACTTGTGTGACTTTCGCGAACCCCACATCACTTACACGTCAGCCATTTTAGCTGGGTTGCATAAAAGAACAGCCTTTCGGCGGTGTTCCAGTTTCCTAATGGTAAATAGGATGATTGTGGCCCTCCTCAGGTAGACCGATGGCACACACAATCCATTTCACCAGGTGACTATTACATGTCAGTAATCTGACAGTGGAAGCAATTAAATTCAACTACCAGATAAACTGTATCTGGAAAAATAATTCACTCCTTCTTTTATCAGCAACCACATAATAAAAATGACATCCCAAACACCGTTCAAATACTACAAATTCCAGCTATATGGGAAGTCGCATTATTGAGGTGTTTTCCAGAAAACCCGTTCAATTGACTGACTCTCGGTGACTGTGGAGGCCGTCCGTAATTCTGTCATTGTCGCCTAAAGGTTGTCTTGAGACGGTAATTATGACGGCAAGCGAAGCGTAATCCTTTTGATGTCTAGTTCTGATTGAACAGACTTACATATCAGACAACGCATAGAACAAAAGTAAAATGGAATTAAGTTCCAACTAGCTAGCAAATTATGTTAGGAACAACCGTTGTGGTCAACGAGCGTCGGCGATAGTTAAATTGACGGCGGATGATTAAAGTGGTTAGTGAGGAATCCGTAATTTGTTTGGCATACACATCTCTAATGTGAATGGTAATCAAAACTGAAAAGCCGTTGTTTAGTTCAGTTTCAAGAGATACATAAGAATATCATCGCACGGTGCAACAGTTGCTTGATTTCGCGGCTGCAGTTGACAACGGTCATTAGAGTAATGCAGGCGGATAGAATGAGGTCACTGCTAGGAGCAACGCCTAATATCTAGTGGATGCGGGTGGTGAAATCCCGTTTAGCTTTGTCAACTGCTTCATATCGCCACTTGTTTAATAGCCACTTACTAATAATCAAGATGAAGGATAGCAAATGGCTTTGAAATAATGATAGATATCAGAAGTGTACGTAAATTAACTGCTCAACTTGACACTGCTTTGATCTTCACTGATGAAGCCGCTCCTACTCAAAGGGGTTTATTAGGAGATTTTTGGAAGCCTGTGACGATCTTAAGGAAAATTAATCTCAATGGTTCCCAAATACAGTCGTCGGTTTTAAGTAGTCAAGTTTAGACTGTTTCTTCTTCGGAACATTGGAAGGCTTTTGTCCACGGAAGGCACTTTTATGTTTTCATCAATAGATATATGATATTTTAAGAGTTATGGTAGTGTCACATTTCAGAACATACGGTTTTGAGTTGGTAAACATTACAATGCACCCACTTTCAATGAAAAAAAAAACAGCGCGATCAACGACTTACCGAATAAGGCATCTTACTGTAGTTAGTCGTTCCACAGGATGTTGATGCCAAACTAGGTTCCAAAGGGTATGACTTCGTGAAGTTTATTCCAACGTAAGTACATTTAGGCTGGAATTTAATATCTACGGCACCAGATTTGCAGCATGTATGAGATTGTTGGAGTACTGATCCCGTGCAGACAGTTTGTGGGCTTGAAACATACATTTTTGCATTCTCTGCCTTCGTTTTGTCCGCTGCTGGAATCAGGTCGCAGAGTGAGGAAATAGTTTGGAATCCATATGTTTCTTTGTGATTTCCACGTGGAAGACTTAATGATCCAGAGTCTCTGCCTTGAATAGCATGCTGACTTTTAGAACATAAAATAACGTTAACCGGGCTTAGATCTGAACAGGAATTAATTTGTTCATCAATCGGTAACAGTTTATCTTCAACCTCACATTCTTGGATGACTCCCATTTCCGAAGAACTGCTCAATCGGTCCTTTCGTTGTACAGTAACTGGGGAATGTATTTCATTGGAATTAATTTGTTCATCACTGACCAACCATTTGGAAGTCTCTGTATGGCCCGTGGTAGCTAAATGTCTGTTCGTAGACTTCGTGGTAGAGTGACGTCTGCGATGTTTCGAATGAGCCCAAAGGATAGCTGCAATCAGTGCGCACACCAGAGTTACAGCAAAAATGGCCAACAACATAGATATAACCAAGTTGCTTAAGTTAATATCCGAACCACTTTTCACTTGTTTCATAAGACCAGTAGAGTTTGCTGGGCTGATTAATCCTCCATAGTAACTTCTGTTTGCGGTATGCTTCTGTCCGCTAACAAAGTAATCATGTGAGTCTTGCGACTCTAAATTGGCAGCATCTGATGGCCATTGTGCTATGGACAAGTTTGGTTCCACGGGCTCCCTAACTTTCAAGAAAAATTGGGCATTGCTTGTTAAAGTTGGCTCGCCGTGGTCCGAAAGCTGGATACAAAATAAGTAGGTGCCTGGGGAAGGAATCCACTGATTGTTGTAGAGGGCACCATCTCTATTTGGACTATCATGGGATGCTTGCAACCGAAAGCGTATGATTCCTGTGTTTTTCTCGATATGAAAAAACTTAGATGCATTGCACTTTCCCAACATGGTGTAGGCGATTCGTGCATTTTCTCCATTATCAGCATCATCTGCCTGAATCTGCTGGACAACTGGAGTCGTTACGTAATTGGAAAGTGCGGAAAACCCCCCGAAACGTCTTTGTAAATGTACCTTTGAGAGAGGAGTAACCTCTGACACCACGTGCGAGTCATTAATCTTATAAAGAGTTGCCTTATCCAGACGACTTAGACGAATCGGTTGATAGATGACAACCGATCCGCTTTCTGGGTGACGTATAACTGGTTTGTGATCGTTTATATCAATCACGTCAACAGTAATGGTTGCTGTAGCAGAAAGGCGCACGGGATGCCCATTATCTACAGCTAGTATGTACAGTAGGAACTGGGAGGCTTCCTCCCGATCGATGGGTCGGGTAGTGACAATTTGATTTCCCGATGTTAGTTTAAAGTAGTCAGCAGCATATGCTCGTCTTTCTCCGTCTGGCTTGCTAAGAGCTGATGTGACATGGTGCTTTCTGTTCGGAAGTAGACCGCGTACCTCAACCTTTGCGTCATTACCATTATCTACGTCGACGAATTGTACAAAGCCGACCTTAGTTCCAATCGGAAGGTGTTCCACCACGGTGAAATGACTAGGACTGATCAGAACTGGTGGATTATCGTTGACGTTCAAAATGGTAATGTGTATCTGTGCACTGGCTGTTTTGCGTTCGTTGTCTGACCCGCGAGGATTATCCATGGCACGCACGCCAAAATCCATTTGATTAATCAGTTCATAATCGAGCCGCTTAATCAAAAATAGACTCCCTGTGTCCTTACTGATTCTAAAGTATTCCTTGAATGTTGAAGGGGAGCTGTTCGCTTGTGTTAATGAGTGTGTATCTTTGCCTCTCAATTCGTACAAACTATATGCAATTCTGGCATTTTCTCCGCTGTCTTCGTCCTCCGCGGTTACGGTTAGTATAATGGAATTTACAGGTTCCGCTTCGCTGATTGTTACATTAAACTGCCCTTCTGTATGTGGTGGCAGAAATCTGAATTTGGGTGCATTGTCATTTTCATCTCTGATGGCGACAGTCAAATTGAAGCGTCGTACCTGTCTCGGCTCTGCACTGTCCACGCATGTTATAGTGTAACTTAATCGCGACTGTACCTCATAGTCAAGTGTCGTCCGAGTGAACAAATTCATGATTGTACCATCTTCAGATTTCTCGAACCGCAAAGGCGACATACGCTGATTTGCCTCTGGTTCACAAAAAACAGCTGATCTGGAAACCTCATCGAAATCACGCACCATCAGGCGCAGGGCCAGCTGGTTAGGTTCACTATTTTCAATGATAGTACGATTGTGCTGGACTATCAGTTGAGGTGGATTGTCATTCACATCGTGCACGCGAATAGTCAATAGCATTGAAGATGACAATGGGGGATCACCGGCATCATGCGCCGTCAATCGTAGCTCCACATTTCTCTGTTCATATTGTTCATAGTCAAACATCTGGCGCAAATGTAGTTCACCTGTTGCAGGATGCAAACTGAAATGTTTCAAAATAGAATTGGGCACACTGACATAACCTGGTCCCATGCTGTATCGAATCAAGGCATTATCTTCAGAATCGGCATCTGTTGCGTGGACTACGTAAATGGGATCTTCATATAACGTATTCTCAGCTATGTTTATTGAATCACTCTCTTTGTCGAAAAGTGGAACATTGTCATTCAAATCCGTTATGTGAATGAGTAACAAAAGCTGTCCCGTGCGTGGTGGTTGACCACCATCCATGGCCTCCACGGTTAATTTGAATATTCGATCCGCTGCTCGATCATAATCCAAAACTGCTTCAGGTCGTACGCCAATACTAAGCTGACCGGAAGAGAGATTGCTAATTAGCTGAAATGTTGTTTTTGCTGCATAAGTACCAGCTAATCGATAGCCTACTAGTCCATTTGGATCGGAGTCAGCATCATGAGCACGGGGCAATGGATGTAATGATCTGGAAGTCTTTGAACCAACTGAACTTTTTTGAAATATTAGACTATTATCTTCCGGCATCCACAAGGCGAATGTCTGTTGCGCGAATGTGGGTGGATTGTCGTTAGAATCATGTAGTTGTAAGTTTACACCAACAGTGACTGTATCCAGTCTTGGGTGGACAAACAAAACAGTGAGTGTAAGGTTACATACCATAAGGCGGCAGCATTGTAGTGGTCCACAAATCTGGTCGGGATCGTCTCTGTCAATGGGAATTAATGTGTACAGATCACCAGAATCTGACACCCGCAAAAGCCGTGGAGCAATACCAAGTGCGTCGATAATGGTTGTACTCACAGACAAGTCCAGGTTGCCACCCAAAGGAAAACTGGGAAGCTGGGTGGGAATGTTTCCGATAAAATGATTAGCCGGTAGCTCGTCTGGCAAGACAAAGTTCACCCGAAACTCGTCCGAGTTGGATTTGGTAGATCGTGTAGACTTGGGAGCTCGTGTCCATTGAGCATGACCCATGTTTGCCTTGAATAACAAAATCAAGATGAGAATGAACATAAAATGTGGTTGGAGGCTAATGAATATCACAACACTCCTGAGTCTTGACATAATTCAGTTCGTTTTTGAGTATTCTTTCTTTCCTGATTCCTGGACAAGTCGTGATCCGTGATCCATTCCAATGAGAATATGGGTTCTCAAAAACCACGAAGAGATATTCATGTTCAAGGTACTGCACAGAATCCAGTTGTGGCTGTAACGAGGAAAGGTAGAGAGAGTTTAAATGGTTCATACTGAGGCTCATTTAGTTATCAGCTTTGGCCTAATATCGAGAATAAGCTTAAATCTCACATGATTTTCAACGGATTTTGTAGAGACCCTACTATCGAAGTGACCGCAAAGGGCGGTAAATAATCATGCAATTACATTACGTTCAAATTACTAAAGACAGCAACAATGGGCTGTTTGTTTCACGGGGATGAACTTGCCGGGACAACCTTAATTTTACTTAATACAGGAGTGCGTGAACTGTTTTAAAAGTTGTCTCGTGATGGTAAGGGACCGAGAACAGACATACTGAGAATAATGTGCTCTAAGTATGATTTGCTTCTGAGAGGATTTCTCTGCAAGGTGGCTGCCAGTTTGACTTGACATTTGAAGACCCCAGGGATCAGTTGGTTGTATCTGAAAAATCTACCATAATTACTTACTTTTTAAACTGTTCAGAGTGTCAAACCGCAATTTCTTTACGACCAGTTGTGCAGCGGGATCAAGACAGTTTTTTATAGTTTGTATTAACCCGAGGAACGTAACAGTAAAGCTTATACTGCTGTATGAATCTCATGCTAATAGTTCCTCATTCATTCCCACCTCTCTGATTGATCGTTCTGTCGACTTCTTCTCGGCCAAGTTTAGTAAAACATTAAGTTTTTCAGTTTTCAGGGCAATCCATTGAACACATGGTATGCGCAGTTCGATGAACCTAGACCGTTTGCAGATTTTCGCCTCATTCAGTGTTCGGCATTGTGTGGACTCTGCCTTTAGCCCCGAAGAAATCGTCTGACACTTTAAACAATATGAGCATTAGGCTAAAATCAGACCAAATTGATCATGTCTGGAAGTTTCGGTGACAAATTAGTAGAAGTTATGCATTCTTCTCAACTGAGAGGTTTCTTGTGTGGAACTTTTTTCTGAAAGAAGTTTGATACTAAAACACCCAAACCAAAGAAAAAGGCCTATTTTCAAGACACTACTTCCAGGGTAGGTTAACATTTGTTCATTTCAGATAATCGTCCTGCACAATCATCATTGACGGGCTGAGTTGGTGAGTTGAATAGAATCAAATGAATCGTTGCATACGGTAGTACCATTCCCAATTTGTCGTTTACATTGTTCAGTAAAGTCAGCTCCTACCTATTGAGGACAGGTGTTGTCAGTATTTTCGAACCACGCCGGCTAGTTCCCGCTAGAGAGAAATGTCGCAAATGGTTCACGTAGACCGCAGGACAGCCAGTAGAGGCAGTTCCGAGAAAAACCTTAGACTGACACTTGGAACATAGATTAAATGGTGAATAGCCACGCCTCCCCACTTTCCTCCGTGTAACCCAATTTTGTAATTCTGTTTCTACTTCCACACTATAGATGTCGATAGGTTTCAGGCTGTCGATACAAGTTATTGGGCTACTGGTAAATAGCTGGTTCCAGCAGGGTGATCGTCAACTTTCATGAGTCATCTGACAGCCAGGTAAAAATGCTTAGTTTTCGACAGCGAACTGTAATGTTGGTACTCCCAGAAGAAAGGTTGTGGACCAAAGTCTAACTCAAATGATCTTATGCTACCGATCAATGTGTTACTGGGTTAAGGGGGAAAGTGCGGGCGATTTATAGACTAATGAATGTGTGCGGCATATGCACATACATCTCTATGTCTGTGCAAGGTAAAGTGATTGAAAGAATGAAGGTCACTGTGCTGGGTTTTGTGGATATGAAACCATTGGAATGTCGGTTAAGAATCAGAGTGACCGAAGATGACGAGTAGAGATTTACCGAGGTTTTGTTATTGCAATGACTGACTTATAGTATAAACTCCGTTAGAAACGGCCATGCGGAAGAAGAGTGATGCAACCAACGCTCTACGATTAGTTAAATGCTGAATAAAGCCAGTTTTGAAATTACGAACTGACGCAGTGGTTAGAGTGCGAATTTACCGACCGGAAGGTCTGTGGTTCAAACCCGACCTCTGCCCCTCGACTTCGTCTGTCTGGGCTTGGACAACCTGGCAGTATCCCAGCCCTCGTGCCTCCTTCGTGTGGTATGGCGGCTAGGCACCGAAAGGGTGCTACAGCTGAACGAAGCATTTCTTATGTAATTGATGCTTTCGGGTCTAAATATTCCTAGTTTTCGACGTTGTGAGGGCCTCAATTTAGCTATCTCAGCTGCTGGGAAGGCTAGCCAGTGGCCAGCTTACGGTTGTTTAAGTTTCACACAGTATTATGACGTTATTTATCTATCACAATGTGAAGTGGTATTTTATTTTGAGCGATTAGATAATCTTACATCTCTGGACTATTACAAATCCGTTTTCGGCCTGACAAGTCTATTCTTTTGTGGCTTGCGTAGATGTTAACGAGAAGCTCGGCTGCACGTATCGTTCATGCTATTCTTCGATTTGACTGAGATGAGATACTTTCTCGATCTTGCGTTGTGTTTGATTTACACCGTGTTGCAAAATCAGGAGATTTGCTTGAAAAAGAGCAAAGTACTTTGCACTTGTGGAAATCCAGGGTCTTACTGTGTTATTTTATCCTTCGCCACACTTTTGACACTTCTGCTTAAACTCCCATGGAATCACGCACAATCGATTTCATTCTCCAGGGAATACGTCATTGAAAAAAGATAATCAAGGGATAGTCACAGGTCCACAACTTTGTATTCTACAACAAAATACCGCCCTTGTAAATGCTGTCAAAATAGGCATTTCTGCAAACCTGCGGAAACCGCGGTGTGCGATTTTATGACAGAGCGGCATTACCAAATGCGAAAACCCTGTCAAAGCGCTTTTGATTGCCTTGACGCGTGGCGGCTGGCTGTTGTTTCCGCCCAATTGCCACACAGCGATTTATTTCACTGAACTGAGTGTAATAACTACTAATTTAAGGCTGGTGAGCCAGATATCAAACCAATACTGGATTCAAAATAAAGTAGATCAGACCAATAACTATGAATTTTCGTGTGTTTATACTGCAGAACTTGACACAAATCACTTTTACGCATGGCATGTCTGCACGCCCAATTTTACCTGCTGATTTGCAGGCGACCGACTGGAAACGTCATAATTTGCTAGCTATTGGTATGTCAAATTTGAGTACGTTTAAAATTGGCTTTTTATTTGTGGTCAGTTAGACCAAAAGTAGAAACTAAGCAGTTGGCCTTATAGGGCGTTACTAATTCTGTTTTTCTTTTAAGGTTATAAGAACTGTTAATAAGGGACTTTGTTTTGAAGCTATTTGTTATAAAGTCAACTCTCGACCGGACTGACAAAGGACCAGCTTGAGGACGAAACCTCTTTTGGGAAAAGATGCTTGAATCGCAAATCAAAAGGTCTTCTTCAGAAATCCACCAAAGCGATCATTGAAGAACAGGTGTATTTACAACACCTAAAGGACCAAAACTATCTGTAAGAATATGTGTATGAATATTAGAAGATAGTCTACCACTCAAGTCTATCCTTAATGAAAAGGATAAATGTTCGCATCCACATCATTCCCTTTTGTACAATCATCTTGCTATTCTGAAGTAATTATTCTGGTTAGTCCTCACTAAAGGGAGAAAGTACTGGACTCTTGTTTCGTTCTTATTAGATCTAAATAGCAGTTCATACAGCCAAGTCGGGGTTTGAACTTCGGACATGTGACATGTGATGCCAGCATGTTACCTCTCCTTCACCTGCGTAAGTTGGATGCTTGGAACCCCTTGACAATTTTTGATTCAGTTGTGGCTGGTTGCGGGATATGTAGTGTTACTAGGTCGTCCTTTGAGGGGTCAGGTTGCCAATCGAACTGCTCAAGAGTGAACGCTTTCGCCTGTTCAGACGTGAACATTCAGATGCTTCCGACGTGCGCTGGTGGTGTTGTGGTAACATGCTCGCATCAAATGTCACATGTCTGGAGTCCAAACCCCTGCATGGCCATTGGATATGGACTGCTGATGAGCGTGGTGATCGTAACACATCGCTTATAATTGTGCCGAGTATGTTTCACACAAATTCCCAGCAGTTTTCTGCAACAAGAGTCATGTGAAGCATGAACTAATCTCCGAAAATCCGCTTTTATCGACATCAGAATGTTTTTGCTACCAATGAAAGACTACGGAATAGGAACTTGGTAGTATTTTGTTGTACCAAATCTTTTGTCTGATATCTTGTGATATCAATAAAAATAAACATTATTTGAAAGGATACGTCAGGATACGTCAGGTGGGACGATTAAACTAGCTTAATCAAAACAGACTTGTTTCCATGGGTGCTGGCTTTCCTTATTGAAGCAAATGTGAAAAGCTGTAGGAGGAGATTTTATTGTGTTGGATGTCCACACTGTCACCTTGAGATCGAAGTAACCCAACACTGTCTAACTTGTTCCATTCTAAAAAGTTCATTAAGATATATGACATCCAGTACGAGTTAATGGCTTAGTAGTGAACTTGGAGAAAGTACTTCCATTTAAAAGGGTGAGGTGGCGGGAGGAGGAAAATGTGTTAGAAATCTGATAGTAGCATTCAATTAAACCACAAGCGAAATGGACTTAGGCTATTTATGGTTTGTGTACACACAGGTCAGAATAGTCCCAGAGGACACCCACCACACAGTTCACGACAACCAGTAATTAAATTTACGCAAATTATTGTAAAGCTTGGTAAGAAACCCAAATGAAGGACAAATAACATCATATTTTCTATTATTAAAGCTTGACTACGATTCTTAGTGAAATTATCGAAGAACCGTCTCACAACTCTCTCATAGATACTGCTTTAATAGTGGAGATCTTCGTAAAAATAAGATGTAAAGACATTTGACTTCATTAATTTTAATCGTTTGTTTTATTTCGAGATTTCAGGTGTACCAAAGAGCACCCTTATCTGTAATCCTCAACTGTGAAAATTTTCTGAGTCAGCGGAACAAAAACTAGCACGTACCCAACTGGGAGGTAAACAGGTCTTAGCTGGGCGCTATTATCTCTTTGCTTGAACAAAGTGTTT